ACCCACAGGGGGCACCAAAGACAGCAGCATCGGCTGCAGCAACTAACAGGAACTCTCGAAGAAGACCTCTCCGGCCTCCATTTCATGGAGAAGAACCAGACTTTTGCACAAACCGAGTGGAGTTATGTGCACGGAGAAGAACGTTGTGTAAACCAAGCGAAGGACGACACATTGGTGTGCGTCAAAAATGAGACAAAGAAGACATGAAAGAAAAAGACATTGCAAGGAGAAGAAAGTGATTGAAAGAAGAAGAAAGAAAGTGATTGAAAGAAGAAGAAAGAAAGAAAGTGATTATTGAAAGAAGAAGAAGAAAGAAAGTGATTGTTCAAAGAAGAAGGAAAAAGGCATTGAGGCAAAGACATTGGACACTTTGAGACAAAAGACATTGAAAGACGCCATGAGTAAAAGAAAGACATTAACGGACATAAGAAGAAGACGTGGCCGGGCTAAATGAGACAGACAGAAGGTAAATATATACGGACAAACAAGCGCACAGAGACATGTGGAATTTAAGTCATATTTACACATTTAGGTCATTCGTTCATAACACTACATTTAGCTGCATGAAAGAATACAGGACAATCGTTAAAATTAATTAGACTCTTGCTTTAGCATGAGACACAAGGAGATTAGAACAGCAGTATATTTAAAGTAGAGGAGCTCTATTATTGAAACTAGTATTATTATTTAAAGTTATAGACGCGGAGAAGTTTAGAATTATTGATTTTGACTGCATGATTTTGGTAATACGGATATTTAAGGCAATTTTTCAACCTCTGAACCGTGGCTCGTTAATCATTTAAGAACAATCACATGCACAGTTGAAACTGGTGCTAGAAAGAGAACTGCAGCTTTTAATGGACGCTGCATTTAGTACAAAATGGTTTGTTCAGACAATTGCTATCCACTCGGCACGGTGGCTGAGTGGATAGCACTCTCGCCTCTCAGCAAGAAGGTCCTGGGTTCGAATCCCGGTCGGACCAGGGCCTTTCTGAGTGGAGTTTGCATGTTCTCCCCGTGTCTGCGTAGGTTTCCTCCGGGTACTCCGGTTTCCCCTACCACTAAAAATATGTCCAATAGTTCTGGCATGCGCCTCCTGTACTGGCGACCCCGCTCCCATCTCTGTGTGGAGTGAGAGACAAATGCCCAAAAATTGACAATTGTAAACCGCTTTGAGACTCAGATCTGCAGTGAAAAGGCGGTATATAAATACAAACTTACTTACTTACTTACTTACTTACTTCTGGACCAATACTAACTTGGGGTGTTGTGAGTGTGTTGTGAGTGTGTGTGGAGTGAACGAGGAAGTGTTGAACGGAACATGGAATAACAAAAGTTTTCTGTAATGTTTTTAATGTGATCATGGGAAATAATTATTTATTGGTCAGCCCAACAGCATACTGTAAGTACTAGAATTCAAAAGATAACAAGCTTTCTTGAACAGGTGTAAAAAGTGAGAGTACTCTGGGATGAGTACTCTGAGAAAAGTAATCTGAGAAAGTACTCTGAGATGAAATCCTTCTGGAAGGTACTCGGAGCCCCCCTCTGCTGTTTGTCCTGACAGCGACACAGTCCCCAACCGCAGAGAGCTGTCATTGGCGGAGACAACTTTGGTTTGTAACTCACATTTAGGGGAGTGTAAAATTAGAAACATAATTTTTGTTACTTCTGTATTTGGCTACAGCCTCTGCGGCCTGGTTCACCCACACACCGTCTGTCAATGCAGTTATGTTTTGCCCAATTGGATTGATTGACAGGCAGCACCATGCGAAGAGAGAAAGTGGGCGTGTTCTTGTGTTCTAATGTTTTGTTTTTCAGATGAAAGATAAACTGCACCTCTCAGGGATGACATAGTATGAATTAAGAAAAATGAGCCTCTGCTTTGGCTATATAATTGAGGACGATCCGGAGGAGCAACGAGGATTGGAACCAGAATCTAACACATCGACCCACGTACAGATGCATGTTTTTATACTTTGGACCACGACAACAGAGGGATTTATTGTATTGTCATATTGGTCATGGTCCTTAACCTCTAATCATTAGAAAGAAGTGTAAAAACCATATATTATACAAGAACAAATAACTAATAGAAAGGGCAGCCTAAAAAAGCAAATGGGAAATTCATTAAGTAATTTTCGGAGTTGACAAAATGAAAATAAAAATTCTAAGTACTTTGGTCCCATCGGGGGTCATTCTAATTTAGTGTTGTGCAAATTCAAAAGGAGAAATAATAAGTCGCTTAAAACATCAAACAGATCTACTCTTTAAGATAATAGATCATATAAAATAAGAATAATAATAGAATAGAATGAAATAGTCTGGAGCTATAATGTCATTGGATTCGAGGAAGCTAAGTTGAAGTGTCAGAATAAACATAGTAATATAGTTTAGACTAGTGAATAATCAAAATAGTTCTATTGTGGAAATAAGTATCAATAAGGTCAAATTGTTTCTAATAACAAAGTAAAAAGGGGGGGAATCAAATGGAGTCAGATTTTACGATTTTTTCCTGTTTTCCACATCCTGTAGAACTGGTGCACGAGGTGATTTAAGGGAGAGTAGTATTAAATGCAGACATAGAACGACAGGCCTTTAACACCAATTTTAAATCTAAAAAAGCTCAAATATAACATTGCCTCTGACTCAGAAGACACAGTTTATCACCACCGTGTATTTGTTGTAACTGAAATAATGAAGCGTCTTTGAGTGTCCAAAAAAGTGCTATATAAAACCAATGCATTATTGTAATAATAATAATGCATCAGTTTTATATAGCGCTTTTTTGGACACTCATAGACGCTTCACATGTGTCATTATTCATTCACTCCATACACGGTGGTGATAAACTACTACTGTAGCCACAGCTGCCCTGGGGCACACTGACAGAAGCGAGGCAACCAGTCTGTGCCATCGGCCCCTCCGACCACCACCAACCATTCATACACACTAGACTCATTCTAGGCAATGGGGGTGAAGTGTCTTGCCTAAGGACACAACGGCAGTTTGGCACTTTACAACCGCAGCCGCCCCACTGTGGCTGGTGTTCCCAGAGGTTAAGTGTCTTGCCAAGGACACAACGACAGTAGTCAGTGGGAGTTAATGGTGAAAGTCTTGAGCGGGGCTTGAACCCACGACCTTCTGGCTCAAAGGCCAACGCTCTACCAACTGAGCTACTGCCGCCTATTATTATTGTTTAGGGATTTTAGATTTTCCAAATGATTTAAAACAGATGAATGAATTAAAGGAGCCGTATGTAAAAATGGTACTGCAATGTCACTCACTATCTTGTAGTTCCCTCCCGCTCTCCATGACTCAGGTTGCCAGATACGCACCAAATCCAGCTGAAAACTCAAGGAATTATTTTATCAGTTGTTTGTCTGTCATCAGACAGAGGATATCCCCCTCAATTTTTGTTGTGTATACAAAAATGTATACAAGTGTATACATCAAAAAGACATTTGAATTAATACATTAAAATTATTTTAATGTGTGGTGCATGTGGTCTCATCAAATGATTCCTTTTACCATTAGGTTTTCTCAATTATAAAAAAATATTATCGATCATTTATGTTTGATGGTGAGATTGTAATTATTATTGACTCATTAAATAACAGACATTTTTCAGATCAGGGAAGTGCGTTCTGCCAGTGTTTTCAGGGGATTTGACCTTTGAAGAACCACAGAATATTCAGTTATTTGACTATACAAACATCAACGGCCAAAATGATAGATTAGACTCTTGCTTTAATCTGCAAAAAACACCTTGATTTGACCTTTTACCGTTCTTGAGCAATCCGTCAAAGAGTATAATCTATATAGTTTATTTCAAAACACTGATGCCCAGACTCAGACCTGAGTTGCTGCAGTGCAAGTGCTGCGACATACCCACTGGGCCACAAATACACACTTTTCTCATTGGCAAGTTTTGCTTCAGACGAAAAGTTTTAATCCGCCTTCAATTGTCTCCATTTTTCAAAGGCGTCCCAAAATAAATCCTCGTTTTGTCATGAATGATTTTAGAATCATAACAAGAGCTTTTTTAATTCTGCGGCCACATGTTATTTTATCAGTGAGATAAGCTAGTCGAGGGAGTTCAGGCAACCCGGATCACAGACTGAGGAAACGGCGGAAGGGCGGGATATTTACTGATTTTGAAATTCAGAAATCTCGGCTGGTATTAGTTAAAGCTGCACTAACTGACTTTATTTTCGTATTAATTACGAAAATGCTATCCATGTCCATGTAGTGCATTGGGATATACGTCCTTTTGAAGAAAAAGTAGCGCAGATTTGTGCTGGCCTGACATTATATTTTAGATCGAGTTTTGATGAAACAAGGAAGAGAACGTGTTTCGGGTCGCAGATTGTGACCAATCACAGCGCACCACTAGCCCCCACTTTCGTGAGAAATCTCCAGGTCCGTTAGCACAGACAGCTGAGTTAGCACAACAAGCGGCGGAGCTAACCTGAAACTTTCTCGTCTTCGTCACCGGTTACTGCTTACACAACGAGACAGCCATCCAAAAGAAAGTCTTGTTCCTCCGCGCTTCCCGGTTCTATCGTTCTATGGTCACGCCATCCACGTGAAAATCCATATCCATGTATTATCCATATTGGGAGAGGCTAGCTCCGTCTCAACACTGGGTGTGTGTGGGGGGCGATAGCTTCGTGGGTGCGGGGAGGGAAGCAGAAAGAGCGAGGCCAGCGAGTCCGCGGCTTCAAAATCCCAAAGTCAGTTAGTGCAGCTTTAAAGAAGTATTCCAAAAAGAGCATGGTTTATGAATGATTTTTGACAAATTACGGGCCATTTAATGATGACTTGACATACAAATATCACATACTGCTCCACACTTTTAGACACCTTCAGAGATTGGAGGACTCTAGAATGTGCCGAATTGTCTTGTATCATGTTTCATTAGTCCACTCTCTCTGTTACTAATTAAAACCTATACTTCCTAGTTTGTGTATCTGGAAGGCTTGGTGACCTCCCTCTCCGACATGTCCCCAGCCTTCTTTTTCACCGGTCACCGACGTAAACTGCTCCTGCTGGGAATCTGTGCCGTGTCCTTTGCGGTCGGCCTGTGTATGGTCACTGAGGTGGGATTTTAGACTCTTTTGAGCAAAAAAAGTGACTCAGAGAAGCTTATTATTGGATATTATTGTTTTCGTTCCTCCAGGGTGGACTCTATCTCTTCCAGCTGTTTGACTACTATGCCTGCAGTGGAATCCCATTGGTAGTTTTCGCCATTTTAGAATCTATCTGCATCGGCTGGGTGTACGGTGAGTCACGGTAGTCTTTCTCTCGTTGGTGTATTCTTCTTACTTTCGGTGTGTTTTTCTGCCTCTATGCAGGAGCTGACCGCTACTACAATAACGTCTGTCAGATGATTGGGTATCGTCCATGGCCGTATATGAAGTACTGTTGGAAGTACATCACTCCTGCTTTGTCTGTAGTAAGTCTACAACCATTTCCTAAAGACTGGGACATCAAGATAAAACAGAAAACAGGTTCTTTTATTGCAGACTTTCAGATTTAATTTATGAAAGTATAAGGACAGTTTCATGTTCATACAGTAAAACCACAGCCTCCACTTTTAAGTCTCTAGACATCGTTCAAAACTCGCTGTTAGCAGAGAGGCACGTTATATGCAATTTTAAACATTTTCTCTTCCAAAAGAGATTTATAGGAAAAAAGATACAAGAATGTATGAAATGAGCTTGACAGATTTTGATTTTGATCTAGTTCAACAGTTTTGTTTGTGACTAAAGCAATGAAATGAGGACTATTAGTTTTATAGAGAAAGACTATTCAGAAGTGATAAGTATGTTTCATTCTGACTGACAGGACAGAAGTAAATGATAATGTTCTAAAACAGCAGAGAATTGTATAAAAGCAACGGATACATGAACAAAAGCATTTGTAATGTGTTCAAAGGAGAAACTGCTGCGATGATGTCACACATGACTCAATGTTGTGGAGGTTGAACTCATAGTTTTGAGAACTTTAAGTCTGAGAAATGCATCAAAGCGACTGAGAAAACTGTAAAAGACTCATGTGTAGTAGTATGTAGTTTTCAGCTGTACAGTGTTTAGTGCTCACCGAGTGTCACCGAGATCTGACTGTTTTACACTGAAAACACAGAGAGGAAACTTTCACAATAAAAACATGACTAAGTCATGTGACTGTTCATAAACACTGGTGTCAGGACTTTTTATTCTGAGACACAGACAGTTTCACTGACATGAAGACTTGCTTTAATCAATAATTTTATTTGTTCTTATAATCTTGATCTTATGTTCATGGCTGAAACTTGGCTTGACCAAAATACAGAAAATGCAGTTTTAATAGAAGCATCACCACCAAATTTCAAATTTGAATCTGAAATACGGGGAAACAAAAAAGGAGGAGGCTTAGCTGCCATTTTCAGAGACCACTTTGTCTCCCATAGAAAACCTCTTGGGAAGTTTCCGTCTTTTGAATATGTGTCTTTTAAAATACAACAAAAACAATCTCCTCCGATACTTTTCGTTGTCCTATACAAGCCACCGCAGTCATGTCACAGTTTTATTGATAATTTTACGGAGTTGCTTTCAGTTTTATGCACAGATTTTGATAGCTTAGTTATTACAGGTGATTTTAATATTCATGTGGATAATGTTGATGATGACGTTCTGTTCTTGAATCTTTTGGTCTCACTCAGCATGTGAGTGGCCCCACACACAGCAGAGGGCACACTCTAGACCTGTTAGTTACAAAGGGGGTGAACATTTCAAATGTAAACGTGGTCGATGTTGCTCTTTCGGATCATTTTTGTGTATTTTTTGACATGTGTTTCACTAAAAAACCACCAGTGGACTCTGCAACTGTACGAAGAAGACACATAAATGAAAATACGGGTGAACTATTTATGGGAATGATAAACTTTGAGAATGCATCGTATTCTACTGTAGATGAACTGTTTAACTCTGTCACCTCTAGTGTTTTGAATGTTCTGGATACCGTTGCCCCTGTGAAGGTTAAAATAGTGAAAAATAAGCAGAAGGCGCCGTGGGCTAAAGCAGACTCGGTCAGGGCACAAAAGAGAAAGTGCCGGAGGGTCGAGCGGAAGTGGCGCAAGTCCAACCTCCAGGTTGATTACGAGATCTTCAAAGATAAGTTGTGCGAGTTTAACCAGGTGCTACGTAGTACGAGAGAAAAGTATTTTTCTGAAATGATTGAAGGCTGCAGCAACAATCTGCGTGTTCTGTTTTCAACAGTTAATAGATTAACAAACCCCCCTGTTCAGATGCCATTAGAGCTTACTTCCAAACGTAAATGTAATGAGTTTGCACATTTTTTCAATGACAAGGTTCAAGGCATCAAAAACGCCATTGTCTCCAATCCACAGATAACCATCCAAAAACTAGAAAGGCTCTTTGAGCTAACTTACTTTGCACCTGTAAATGATCAAACTGTCCAAGAGATAATCAGTTTGAGCTCCTCCACATGCAGCTTGGATGTACTACCCACTAGATTTCTGAAGTCTGTTCTGAGCAGTCTGTTACCTTCACTCACACAGATAGTAAACATGTCCCTTCATTCTGGAATATTCCCAAAGGCCCTGAAAACTGCAGTCATCAGGCCCCTGCTAAAAAAAAACAGACTGGATGCTACGGTACTTAACAACTATCGTCGGATTTTATATTTTTATCTTTCTTTTCAATGTTCTGTGATTATTTATGATTTTAATGCTATCTTGTTCAGCACTTTGAGTGGCCTTGTGTATGCTATACAAATAAACTTGCCTTGCCTTGCCTTGCCTTGCTTTTGAGGAATTATCTTTTCATTTTGAGAAAGTGATGCACTTTTGCTGGTTTTCCTCGAGGTTTTGCAGTTTGTACTAATTGTTCTGAGAAATGCACCAACAGTTGTGCAAATGTGAAGAATGATGTGAGAAAAACTGTATTTTTGTATTTGTTAAAGTGAAAGTGAAAACATGAGGTTTCATATTACACACATTAGGTTGGCAGCGTTCTTTAGTCCACATTCCTCATTGTACAGTCTGACAGCTTGTTATTTCACTTCAAATCAGACTCGAATGTGGGTCCTGCTAAACAACACTCTGGTCTGTTCAGGGTGTGTTGCTTTTCTCTTTGGGAAATTTCAAACCTCTGCGGTACAACAACACGTACGTCTACCCGGCTTGGGCTTATGGGCTGGGGCTGTTCTTGGCCTTCTCCTCGGTAGCATTGGCTCCGTTGTGGTTCCTGTACAAACTGGCCGTCACCCCGGGAACACTGAGAGAGGTTCATTCTCATTAAACGTCGTGCATTGTGTTTCTTTTCATACATTTCTAATAATCATATTCTTCTTCCAGAGGCTAAGAGTTGGAGGTACGCCACCAGAAAATCAGAATATGGCCTACTCTACTTCTCTAGAGGAGCGCTGCAAAAATTGATAAA